AAAAAAAAAAAAAAAAAAAAAAAAAAAAAATTCAACTTAGTCACGCTAGCCACATTTCAACTGCTCACTAACCACGTGTGGCATGTAGCTACTGCACTGGGCTGTGCAGACATAGGACATTTCTATCATGGGGAGTTCTCCTGAGCAGGACTGCTCCAGACCAGCAGTCAGCAAGCCATGCCCCGCCCCTCCCCGCCCCATCCCCAAATCCAGCTGTGGCCCATTGAGTTATGGCCTGTGAGCTAAGGATGGTTTCTATCTTTTTAAAGGGTAAAATCAAATAAAGAATATGCAAGAGACCTACGTGGCCCACAAAGGCCCAAAATATTTCCTATCTAATTTTTTACTAGAAAGTTTTCCAACCACTACTCAGACCATGTGTACCTTGAGAGTGAGGTTTGAGTGGGATTTACTTGTCCTGCCCCACAGTTTGTACCAGGGACTTTCTGCTTAGCTGCTAACAGTTGTGTAGGGGTTGCTAAAATGGGACTCACCCCCGCCTGAAGCATAAAGACAATAGATGCTACATTCTGAAGAGACCACCATGCAAACATTTGAAATAAGGTGACTGAAAACAAGTTGACTATTACCAACTTCAAGGACTTAAAAGGATGGAGTAGAGGTTGAGAGGATTCTAGGGAGCAACAAAATAAATAATGATGGCTATGGGTTAAAACCACAGAATAAAATAAATACCAATGAGCCCATACTGATAGAAATGAATAAATGAGTAAACAAATGAATGAATAAATAGGGGAAAAGGGACTTTTCTCTTCAATTAATCTAGAGGGAATGATGGGACTAGAAATCACTTTAGATCAACACTATAAATAATAATCCTTGTTTGCAAGACTCATTGAAGGATGGTAAGAACTGTGGGCAAAAGTCTGATGACAAATGAGATATTTGCATAACCTCAAAGTAACTTCCCAGAAGACACTTACTAATCACAGAGAATAATGCTACCTCTGCACAGGAGGAAGCTGGTAGATAGCACTTTAGCTGAGTGATCAAGGTCAACATGCCTAGTAATAAGAGACTGGCATCCTGTACCCCCTGATATGATGCACCGAGAAGGACACAATGTCATTTCCAAGTTATTCTTGCCAAAAATGTCAAAGTCAGTCTAATCAGGAGAAAACAATGACCAACCCACACTGAGGGCTATTTTATAGAAAAACTGACCAGTGCTCTTCAAAAGCATCAAGGGCATGACACTCAAGGAAAGACTAAAGAACTCTCACAGATTGAAGGAGACTAAGGAGATGTGACAATTAAATGCCACATGGGACTCTAGGTTGGATCCTGGACCAGGATATGACATTAGTGGGAAAACTAACAAATTCAAAAATAGTCTTTAGCAGGTTAGTTAATCCATGTTAATTTTCTGATTTCAATCATTGCACTATGGTTGTATAAGGTGTCAACATTAGGGGAAACTGGGTGAAGGGTCTACAGGGGCTCTGTGTACTACATTTGCAACTTTTTTCTACCTCTAAAATGATTTCAACATAAAATGTTTCTTTTTTTAAAAGATGTTCTGTCTTCTACACCAGTCAGTGCCTCTCATACACATAGTCCAAATAATTTCTCTGAGCTGTACACAGCTGGCCTGCCTCCTGCTTCCTAAATCTCACTCACAAACTCTGGCTACTTTCACCCATGGAAGCCCCAGAGAGACAGCAGCACACGGTGGACCAGGTGACAGCTTCAGGATCAGATTGACTTGGGTTCACTGCAGCTCCATCATCTACCAGATGAGCCCTTAGGTGTTCCCCTGGCTGACTTCATCAGTTCTTACGACACCTCCTCCTAGAAGCCCTCCCTGACCACCTGCACTAAAGTTCCTTTTCCCTACACAATCACTGTGTAGCACTGGTTTTAGTTCCTTAAGAGCACTTATACTCCCTAAAATGTGTTTGATTTCCTGAAGGGCATGTTCACGCTGTACAGTGTTCTTGCTTCCTTACCTTTTTGCTAGTGTGTTGTCTCCCCACCCCCATTCTGCGCCAGAACACAAGCTCCTCAAGCTTAGTCCACGGCTGTATCCTTGGCTTCTAGCCAGGATCATGCCTGTGGTGGCTGCTGAGTACACATTACAGTGACTGGCGTGGCCCCCTCCCCTCCTGTGGTTTTCCTTAGCATTTGGCTCAGGTCCTGCCCAGCACAGGTCTCGATGCGCCCGTGTGAACAGGACAAGGGGTTGATGACTTACTCATAAAACTCTGCTGCCGGCGTGAACTTGTACTTGGAGTACGTGGTATGGTTGCCCAGCACGGAGCTGTTGAGGAGCTTGGGGTCGGTGCAGTTGGGGCTGTTCCAGGCATGGCCGCAGTCAGTCCAGGGCAGGTTAAGGGTGAAGGAGGAGAAGAGGTAGTAGAGTGACCAGGCAATGATGACATTGTAGTAGAAGCCAACGTAGAGTGCAATGAGGATCACAGCATAGCCAACTCCTGGGTGGGGGGCAGAGGGGGTCAGGCAGGGGCTTCCTCAGAACCACCTCTCCTGGGGAGCTTGCTCCAACCATTGCACTACCCAACGCCCCACACCTCTCTTTTTTCTGTAGCAGATTGTCGGAGCCCTAAATCCCCTAGGGCCCCACCCCCCATTCCTTTGCCTGAGGGCTCTCTCTTGCCCCTGGAGCCCCTTCTGTCCACTTATCATCAGGCAAGGCGAAAGTGCCAGGACATTTAATGCCCCAGGGAGCAGCCGGGTCAGGTGTTGGAGCATAAGTATCCCAGCTCCCCCCACCCCTTGGGCAGGATAACACTGAGGCATGATAACATTCTCTCCCAGCGGAAGGAAGCCCCTTGCCCATGGTGGAAAGGCACGTGATCCACTTATCATGTCTGCCATGGGAGCAAGAGGGGAGAGTAGTGGTATGTGTTCTGGGTACTTCTGACACTTCTATGAGTTTTTCCCAATCAGGAAAACAGATTCCCTCTGGTTACTCAGCTGTACAGCCTGGACTGGAACCCAGATTTCCAGACTTTCTAGGCTAAAGCTGTCCCTGACACCCCCAATGCGTTCCATGTAACTTTGAACGGTGGACGTGCTTGACCTTGCCAATAACTGTAAATCTCGAGAGAGCTGGTCTACCGCAGATCCCACCTTTGGAGCAGATTCTCCAGGGGCACACAGAAGTCTTTTAGAACAACCTTTGACTCCCCCACATTCCTTCTTTACCTTTGAAAAACGGGCAGATCTTCCACACAGTGGCTGCCCCTTCCCGGTTGTACTGGCCCAGAGCCAGCTCCATGTAGAACAGGGGCATGCCAGCGATGATGAGGAACAGGGTGTACGGGATCAGAAAGGCACCTGGAAGACACAGAAGCAGAGTGTGAGCCCCTAGATCCCTGCTCAGCCCTGGGCCTGCCCCTCAGAGTGTGTGGACCCATGTCAGCCAGAGCTGTGAGGGTCCTCATTCATGGCACCCGGCCACTTCTCAAGGAATGTCTCGTGGTAGGTAAATCAGAGCAATTAATACAAATAGCCATAACATAATAATAGTTATAGCAGTAGTCATAATCATAGTCATAATAATGAGGTTCTGTGCTCAAATTAGTAAAATCTGTGTTCATCAAAGCTAAACAGGCTTGGGCTTCCCTGGTGGCGCAGTGGTTAAGAATCTGCCTACCAATGCAGGGGACATGGGTTCGAGCCCTGGTCTGGGAAGATCCCACACGCCGCGGAGCAACTAAGCCCATGAGCCACAGCTACTGAGCCTGTGCTCTAGAGCCTGAAAGCCACAACTACTGAAGTCCGTGCACCTGGAGCCCGTGCTCCACAAGAGAAGCCACCGCAATGAGAAGCCTGCGCACTGCAACGAAGAGTAGCCCCCACTTGCCACAACTAGAGAAAGCCATGCACAGCAACAAAAGAACCAAAGCAGCCAAAAGTAAATTAAAAAAATAATTTAAAAAAAAGCTAAATAGGCTTGTTTCTTACAGGATTCTCCTAGCCTTTGATACACAAGCACAAGCTGTGACGGGCTATGAGGAAGATCAGGTGCAGTCTTTACCAAATTAATTTCAACATAGAACCCTTTCTTTCATGAATCACAACTCTGGGGAATGCCAATCACCCCAAACCCTTCCTTTTATAGGTAAGGCAATTGAGGCCAGAGAGGGAGAGACAGTGCCCAAAGTTACATATGACTGAGTTTTCATTTTGCTCATGTCTATATCAGCTTAAGGTCACCTCGGGTTTTTGACCTCACTGGATTGTCCTTAGTCTCACATCAGCTCACAGAAATAATCAGAGAGGGTCATTATTTCCCCCCAGGGGAAACTGAAGGCAGAGAAGGGAGTCGAATTGGTTTTGTTTGCACTGTTGCTAAGTGACAGAAGCAGGATTCGCATTCATGTCTTCCAACCATCAAGCTCACTCTGTTACTGCTGGCTGAAGGTAAACAAACACCGGATCAAAGAGGTCAGAGGCTCAAGTCTCTGACCAGGGAAGATGCCCACCCAGAACACTGCCGAAGCTACAGGGAGCCCTTGGCAATGGGCAGCAGCAAGTCCCTGGGAAAATTCCTGGTAGAATTAGACACGTCTGAGTTCCAGAGACAGTTCTCAGTACGCCTGGTAGCCTGGGGTGAGCTTAACGGGCTCTGACGCCGTGAGGTGACTCACAGGGGTACTTGCCACGTCAGCCTAGGCTGCTCCTTGGCCTGGTGCAACCGGAGGTGGCCAGGCCAGATCCACACTCCTCCCGCCATTGGCCTTTGGCTGAGATGTTGTAACCTTGGAAACCAAACACTCTCTGACCCGCCCGCACTAGGAAACTGCAGAAACCGGGAAATGCGTAACGATGATAATATTAGGAATATAATATTCCCTACTGTGTTCCCGGCACTGTGTTCCATGCAATATCTCATTCCATCTTCGCCTCAACCCTAAAAGTATTACTACCGCCATTTTACAGATGTGGAAACTGGGGCACCAGGCTAGCAGAGAACTGTGGCAAAGTCGCATGCACCCAGGGTCAAACTCCCCCAGCTACTCAGACTGTCAGTCTCCACTTTCCTCCCAGGGCTTCTCCTCAGGAAGCCCAGGGCTCTTAGGGACAAAGCATGAAGTTTTGGCCACAGTGCTTTGAGACCCAGTCCTTCTGAAGCAGGAGACGGACTAGCAGGGTGGGCAGTAGGGAAGAAACCACTGGAACACGAGTACCTCCTATGTATCAAGCAGGGCACTGGGCACTGGACGTCTGTGATCCCATTTATCCTACCCAGAAACCATCTCAGGTGGCAACTGCTACACCCATTTTTCAGAGGAGGAAACTGAGGCATGGTGACTTGTCTAAATTCACCCAACTGGTCAGTGATAGATCTGAGATTTGGGCCCAGGTCTGCCTGGCTCCAGAGCTCCAGAGCCATTCCCAAAATATTCTGTTGATTCCAGAATATCCCAGCCTCGATGGAGGACATGAGTCTGCATAGAGGCTTGGTGGAGGGTGATCTGAAACTGGGACTCTGGGGCCAGCTGAGCCAGATGGTCTGCTGGTCATGGGCTGCTCCAAGCCTCCAGCCCCTGCTCCAGGCTGGACTTCTTTGAAACGGCCACATGCCAACCTCTCTCTTCCCCTCCTCGTTTCTACTCTCAATCTCCACCCTTCTCTTTCCCCACACAGAGAGGGCTAGTCTGGCACTAGAACCCACGTCTGTTCACGCTGCTGATAGCAGTGCCGGTGATGCTGATGGAGGTCGGGGTGGTGGTGGTGACGGTGGAGCTGCTGAAAGTAACAAGTACCATTTATTGAGCTCCGTTATATGCCAAGCCACACACTAAGTTTTTGCATAATTATTCCTTTAAAACCATCCCTGAGAATTACCACCAATCCCATGTAAAAGATGAGGAAACGGAGGCTTAGAAAGGTCAAGATGCTTGTCCAAACTAGTAAATATGCTTGCTTGACTCCACATCTGGATCTGCCTTGTGGCCACCTGTCACTGCCCTTGGGGGCCTGGAGCCAGAGAGTAAGGGAAATAGATGTATTAGAGTATTTAACAGGCCTGAAGACTGAAGTCAGTGGTCCAAGGGACAACAGGGAAGGAAAAAGCCAGGAGTCATGGCTCAGATCTCGGCACCGTGGTTTGCCTCTGTCAACTAGATGTTCTTTTCTACAACCAGAGGAAAAAGCAATGTCAGCCAATTCACCAGGGATCTCACATTGGCCAGTTTTCCCAACTCTAACCCTCTGGGTGGCACTGCCAACAGGTAGGTAAATTGCCCAGTTGTAGGTAAATAACCCTCTTGTGCTGGCTGGGAGTTCCAGTGGAAGGAGAGGAGGAAAGATTGTGGGTCTGCACAAGCCCAAGACTCTTCCAAGTGCGTTTGATGCGGGGCAGCCAAAGCTTCAGGTGGTAACAGATGGGGAACGTTCAAGAATGTTGGAATGGCTGAGTATGAATGAAAACCAGAAAGCTGCCCAGTGGCCAGTGTCTTATTCTAAAAGAGGACATCGACCAGGGAGATGGCCTAAGCCCCCTTGCAGAAAGATCTGGAGGAAGCCAGGACAGAGCTGAAGAGTCAGAAAGAGGTTTCAGGGGTGCCTGAGGTCAGCTAAGGATGCTTCTCCTAGAAACAGCCCTGCAGCAGCTCCTGGGACACCAAGGCTGGTTGCAAACTTCCTAGAAGGTACTGCTCTGCAAGGCCCATAAGTGCCACATTCCCACGGCCCTGCCTCATCTCCATGCGTGGCAGTGTCAGCTTCATCCAGCCTCATGCAGGGCCAGAGAGCTGAGAACCTGAGGAGCTACAGACCCAGAATCCTGGCTCTGGAATGCTCTGGCTGGGCTGACAGGGGCAGACCTCCCGAGGGTCTCAGCTCCTAGGGGTCTCCAACATCCACACACGTACACAGATGCACACCTGTACATCTTCATGCAAAGGTACACACGGATTCTGCACGTCAACACACTCACACGAACACAGGAAGAAAAGACTGTCAACTGCGAAAGGGACTCCGACCCGTGGCCTTTGGATGAATTCAGTAAGAAGAGCATCTGTCTGGCACACACAGATGCCGCCCCGCCATTAGAGAGGAACCCTACTGGTCAGAGAGGGGCTCTGGACCCCTCTGTGCAAATGTCAAGTCCTCAGAAAAGGGAAGCCGTGGTCACTCAGTTCAGATGGGAAGTGCTGGAGCAGACCCCTGGTGGGTGAGGAGGACCCCAGGGGAGGGGACGGGATGCCTGTGGGAGGTGGCTCAGCAAGAGGAGGTGCGGGCCAGGCCTGGTGTGGGGGTGGAGAGACTGATCAGGGAGGGGCTGCAGGAGGGACAGGAGGGTCCCTTGAGACCTCACTGGCCCAGCTTCCCAGTTGGTGGAGGGTAGGATTCCTCAAACTGGCCACATCCCGATGTATTAAGAAGTAAAAACCCACAGGACCGTTCGCCTGGTGCCTGTAGCTCAGCTATGGGTGGTCACTGCCCGTGGCTTTCACCAGAATTCCAAGAAAAAGTTGGTCAATGCCTACGGTAGCCAGATTTGTCCCCGCTTCCCAGGTACCCCAAGGGTACAGACATCAGGGTGCAAAAGAAGGTGAGATTTCAGTAGAGACAGGGCTGCATGCAGCAGGCCCACCCGACTTGTAGAAATGGGGACAAGAGCACCGGTGGAGACTTACCCTGCGATATCCACATATTTAAAGGTGACAACTCAGGCCACAGCTGTTAAGCCAAACCTGCTCTATCATCCTACCTTGACAACTCAGCATGGTTCTATTATAAAGTTCAAAACTGGAATCCCCAGTTCTTGGAGCTTTGCGCTGGAGTGTGGAGGCCTGGGGGGAGCCCGCACCCTGCTTCATCCCCACCTCAGCTCCAACCAGCAGTGTGTGAGGCCTTTTGCATGTACGTGTGGACTCTTGTGCCCACATGTCTAAGCTCTGTCCACAGCCTCTGGCTTCCCCTTGGGCCTGGGGCTGTGCAGGCCTGTAACACAGTCCAGGCTGGGGAAGCAGGGTCCAGGTAAGAGGACCTTGTAGACTGGGGTGGGTGGATGTTGGAGTGTTTGGGCAGGGAATTCCGGAGTCCAGGTACCTGGAGTTTGATGGGGGTTAGAATCAGTGCTCTGGGTGGGCAGGCCCTCTCAGCCCTGGCGTGGGGGAGGCAGAGAGGAGGGCAGATCAGGGCACAGGGCCCAGGGCAGACCCCCTGTCTCTGCTCTGGACTCCTGACACAGAACTCCTAAAACCCTTGTAACTTCCTGCGTGATGGGGGTGACAGGAGCATCTTACGTAGAGCTCCTAAATCCCTGGGAATTTTCTGGGTGATGGGAGTGTCTTTTCTTCTAATGAAGCCACTCTTGGTGG